TGATCATTGCTACATATACACAATAATTTGTTGGAGAAGTAAAATAAATAAAATGTTTACTTTAAGGGTAGAAATGTCAATTTAATATATCAGGGGTAAAAATTACCACTTTTAAAATAATTGAGTGGGTTAATATACTTACATAAATAATTGAGGGGGAAAAATTGCTATAAGTATATAACTTAGGGGGAAAAAGTGTCATTTTCCCTTAAAACAATAAAGTAGGTCCACACACATTTTAGGAATGCTCTATAAAATTTAATTGTCAACCACTAACACGTGAGATAATTTGAAAATAAAGTAAAATCAATTCCAATGACATTTTCCATTTGAACTGAAAAATGAAAGAAATACTCTTACAGTAAATTCTGAATCGATCATAATGCACCACTTCAGAGAGAATTGGTTTGACATTGTTTTCATAAGATAACCATTTATTGGCTTTCTCCTATTTGAAGATATCATGCTTATTTAATGAAAGCTTGGTTCGTTGGCTTTCCCCTATTTGACACATGTAAAATGATGAAACAATAAATGGTTATCTTATGAAAACAACGTCAAACCAATTCTATTCCAATAGCAACTAAAAGTGACATATATAGCAAACGTATCAAAGCAACTCTTCTTGATCTCCCCCGGTCCTTTAGTGAGCTGAGGTAGTAAAAATAACGTTCAACCAACAAATTAAATTCATATCGAATTTAATTTAAATTCATATAAATTTTGAAATATAAATTTTGCTATAAATATGTAAGCCAATGTAACATTGCATACTCAGCTCAAGAGCACCACTAACAATATAATCAAGCTAAGGAAAAAAAATGATGAAAATAGTTGCATTATTGACTTTTTTTTCATTAATGTGAAATTCTTATTCCCAATATCCATGGGATGAGTTTATTTTTTCAATTTATTGGCCCCCTAGGTTATGTGCAGTGCTTAATACTAATTGCAGACACTATCAAATCACACAACACTATCAATGCTGAAGTGTTGTCTGATTTAATTTGATAGTGTCTGCAATTAGTATTAAGCACTGCACATAACCTAGGACCCAATAAATTGAAAGAATAAACTCATTACATGCATATTGTGAATAAGAATTTTCTATCAATGAAAAAAAAAAAGTCATTAACGTAACTATATTTTTCATCATTTTTTTCCTTAACTTGATTATATTGTTAGTGGTGCTTTTGAGCTAAGATATGCAATGTTACCTTGACTTACATATTTATAGCAAAATTTATATTTGGTTTTAAAACTATACATACTCTTTTTGTGTGCTAGCTATATCTTCCTAGCTTCCATCATATATATATATAGAGAGAGAAAGGTTCAAGTGCGGCAGTGCACTTAGGTGCGACGGTGCGGCTAATTGTAAACCATTAGATTAGATAATCCAACGAATCACATTCATCAAGGCTTTTCTGATATTTTCGCGCACGTTCTCATACTACGCGAACTGCAAGGTTAAAGTCGTCATTGGGCACCAGAATAGATCAAATCATAGTGTTGTGTGTTTTATGTTCGTTATGGGTGCATTATTAACCTTACTGTGGTGTATTTGAGGATTCGTGTTGGTGCCAAATTCAGGTGCGCCCGCGCCTTCTCATGCGGTCAGTGCGGAAACACTAATAGTTATACAAATATACACCATCCATGTTAGAAAATGTACACCAAAAAAACATGCACAAATTAGATGCGCATCACCAGGTATGAATAAAAGCATCACACAGTGTTCAGAAATACATCATTGGGGTGGTGAGTTATATGGTGTATTTTTGGGGTGTGTTGTGTGTTTTTTGGTGTATTTGTGCATTTCATTGTGGTGCTTTTTCCTAACACCTGTTAACACTGTTGGTGTATTCCGACAAGCAACCGATAAATGACCACTACAATTACCAAAACACCTCCCACTTACCCAGGCGCACTTAAATCTTCATAAATTAATCACTATCGTTAAATTAAGCAGAATGGACGATGCTAATATGGCTGCACCGCCCCACCTAAAGCCACCGCTGTATTTGAGCGCTAATATATATATATATATATATATATATATATATATATATATATATATATATATATATATAAGGGTAAAGAATGGCAATGCTACAATAACGGCCTTTTCATCAATTAAAACAGTCTAACAAGAAGGGGTATGATGATCAACCCCGGCCCATATTATACATGCATCATCATCATCATCAGCAAGGAAAATGCATAAAAGTAAAAGCTGCAATTTTTGTGACAGGCTGCATGAAACGTCAAAATTAGAAAGGCCCTGGGGATCGGAGTGTTAAAAGGAATTCATGACTCATGAAAATATGGAAATCATGAAAGTTCAATATGGACAGCTATTAAAAAACACAGTATACAATTACAAGTAAAATTAATTGTGTAGATAAATAGACAAAGGGAAAGGAAAAGCTCATAGAAGAATTTTAAAAATAATAATAATAATATATTTTTTTTTTTTGTCAACACTCTGTATTATATGTATTACCATTCTTTGTAGCGATTTCACTAAATACCTTGTGCTCTACTTTATTCGTAGAATATTTTTCAATGAAATCCTTCACTATTCATGGGTTATGGCCATATGAAAATAAAACTTGATTAAAATATTCAAATGGCCATAAACCATGATGGTAAAGGATTGTTTGAGGATGATTTGTTGAACACTTCTTGAAGGGAGGATGAAATGAGAGCCACTTATATAGGTAGGAAGAGATCAGAGGGAAGGTGAGGTTGTTTCACATGCTGCATGTATGAATAAGAAAATCAATTATGTGTGTGGGGTTGGGGACTTGGGGTTGGGGTTGTGGTTGGCCTATCATGCATAATGTCGCAAATTATGCCGTGGAATCGTGTTCACCGAGAATGGTGAACACAAGTCAAAACGACGTCGTTTTTAGGCAAAAAAAAAAAAAAAAAATCGCGGATGTGGAGTTAACGGCGCGTTACTGATCAAATTATGAATTTTCTGTTATGAGATTATGAATTTTATGAAAATTCATAATCTCATAACAGAAAATTCATAATCGCATAACAGAAAATTCATAAACTCACAACTGAAAATTCATAATCTCATAACAGAAAATTCATAATCTTATAACAGAAAATTCATACTCTCATGGTTCCAAAGTGAATGTGTAGGCATGGTTCCAAAGTGAATGTGCAGGCATGGATTCATAATTTATGAATGTCCGTGATTTCGGACGGGAATATGTAGGCATGGTTCCAAAGTGAATGTGCATGCATGAATTCATAATTTATGAATGTCCGAAACTCCGAAATTATGAATGTAATGAAAATTCATAATCTCATAACAGAAAATTCATAATCGCATAACAGAAAATTCATAATCTCATAACAGAAAATTCATAATCTCATGGTTCCAAAGTGAATGTATAGGCATGGTTCCAAAGTGAATGTGTAGGCAGTCACGTAATTAATTAAAAAAAAAAAAAAAAAAAAAAAAAAAAAAAAGATAACGGCGCACTAACACCGTTGGAACCGTGTTCACCATTCATGGTGAACACGGTTCCATGGCATAACGTCTGGCATAATGTATGCCAGCTATTTATAGGTTCCAATCTTGGTTTTTTTTTTTTTTTTTTTTAAAAAAAAAAATTCCTAATCTTAGAGTGGTTGTTACAACTGATTTTATCCTTGTATAAGTTCATTCTATAGAAATCAAGATTACGAGAATTCAAATGAAAAATGCAAATTAAAGCATAATATCTACAATTTATATTTGTGGTTGATCCCAGATGCAAGTGCATAATAATTTACAAGCTAAAACTACTACAAGAAAACACAGAAAGTTTATAGATGCAACCAAGTAAACACCTGTAACAAAAATGTGCACAAGTTTCGGACTTATATTGACATGACACAAAAGGCATAATGAGCAAACCCCAGGTCGATTGGAAGATCGTATAACTAAATAGAACAGGCCGGGGGTTGTATTCTTACAAAATGATTTTACTCAATTCAGTGCATAGTGAACCCGCTCCAGCAGACGCACAACCTGACTAACAGTAATAGGAGCAGGCAAGGGCTTTGAATTTAACATGATTGTATTATGTGAGCCAAGGGGTAGCGCTAATACAGCCTCTTGTTGCATACTAGTCAGCTCCAAGAACTGAGCAAGCATATCACCATCAAGTACCCTCAGTGCCCCAGCCTGCCAAATGAATGAGCATCACCAAACTTTATAAACTTTTCCTATCTTCATATCAATTTAATTTACATATTAGCATTAGTTCAATTTCCTATCCCAAAGAACCCATTGGGAGTAATTTTCACAAAGTACCAACAAGTTTCAAAAAAATCCTTTAGCTAAAGAATCAAAATAATAATAATTATTACTATTATATTGCATACCGAACTTTCACGGCTGCGGAACTCATTATGGTCATTTCCGAGTATAGGAGCAGTCAATGGATGAATAACAAGCCTTGCTTGTACTGCTTCTAACAGTTCATATTCCACCCTGTGATCAAGCAAAGCAAATTTCAATGAAAACACATGCAGTCCAGGATCTATTTTCTGTGAAACATTTACTTCAGGAACATTGAATTGAAGTTACAACAATAATTTCTTTTCCTAATAGTAAAAACTGTAGTCAATTTTGGACAGTACATGGTACTCATATTACAATGCAGTAGTGATAAAAACATGTTTCCATTTCCAGCCCTTGTTTTTCTTCTATTTTTCTTTCCCCCATTTATTTCAGTAGTGTGTATCAAGTGGAACAGGCTAGCTAAACAGTTCACATAGAGACCAAGGAAGTCAAATAGTCAATGCATACTGACACTTCAAAGGAATCACCAAATCATTTCATACCTTGTCAGAGGAACAAAAGTAATTATGCTTCCTAACAGTGTGCTAGCCATAATGCTACTCTGTGACACATCACTAACGCCATTAGTGTCTCGACAGCCCCTCAAAACATCGTCAGCAGGAAGTTTGTAGGAGAATGAGCCCTGCAATTAGTAGTTCCTTGAGTCATATTTGTGAAGAGCATGACCAACTAGTCATGATAAAAATATTTTAAAAGAAAAACAATATTATAAAATTCTGCTGTCATTTAACAAGAAAATTCTAAGTCCAATCATTGGAAATTTTAGTAAAATCAGCTGACTTCCATGAGATAAAGCCTGACAAATAAAGAGTAGCCCGCATTTAAGCTCCACATTTATTAAGGTACTTTGAGGCCACAGAAAACACAGCATTGTATTTCCGTAACAAAATCTGGCATATCATTAGTCTGTCTTAATCATTAGCTCACACTGTCACAGGTTGTCAGAAAGTGGCCACAAATAAAGAACACCTCCAGTTAAGGAGAGCAGCAAATTTCTTTTCCACAAACACATTATTTTAGTCCAAATCGCTTCAGTAAGCTGAATCATATATAGAGAGTAGAAGTTCTCATCTCTATAAACATTCAAGTCATTTAGTTTCTAAAATTTTTATAATATAAGTCAGCAGTTAACTGCAGTTACTACCCTTTTTTGTCCATAAATGGTGTTCCTATCATCTATACTAATAACTCTTAGGAGTTTTAAGCTTTTGGTTTCCCTTTGTTCACCATGCTGATGGTCAAACTCCTCATGATAACTTTTAAACACTTTTGGTTCCTTAGGTCTTTAAAAATTGCCAGCATTATTCCCTACTGTTTACTGTGTACATGATTACGGAAATTCAAGTGCTTGACCACAACAGGTGAGGCAAGCTGACAACATAAGCCAATAGCTGGATTCAAAATAACAAAAACCATTTGATTTGCTAAACAGAGGAGTTCAACAGACAGATGCTGCAACAGGTAAAAATTTGTAGAAAAAATCCTCCTTCCCCTGTTCTCAGCAGAGAAAAGAAGGGCAATTAATAACCCCCTGTTGTTTTCCAATGATTTGTAGACTATAGGCCAATGATGAATTAGCAATTTAATCTTCCAAGTCATTTAATCAGGTTATTCTTCATAAACTGCTCTGAAACTTTGTTCTTGACAAAGATCTTGAATGTTTATAGAGATGAGATCTTGATTAAGCTCTGAAATCTGAAATTTTACAGCTCATACCGGATGCCTAGTTCTGACATCGATGGTGTCAAACAGCAAGCAGAGGAAGCGGCAGATGCATACCATCCTCCTCAGGAATGTTGAACTTGACAACTTTTGGGTTCAAGTCTGGATTTGGGTCCTTTGCACCACCTCCATTCATAAGGATGCTGAATTGAAGTGGCAACTAATGAACTTAGCCAAATCCCAAAGAGTTTACATCTACTAAAGAACTGTGCATTTTTTTTCACGGTTAAAGGGTAGGGGTCCAAGACTGGCTATTTTTAAAAACTTAAGTGACCAAGGGTGGCTTAATATTAGGATAAAGAGTTTGACCATCAGAGTTATTAAAGAAGGGGGTCGGTCTACAAGTGAAAAGACCCTAACTCTTAAATGCAGTTCTTAAAGACAAGATTCATAGAAACAACTATGATGTGGCAGCAGATGACAGCTGATCTCATGGCAACATCATTTCCAATAGGTCCTAAAAAAACTTACTTTTCGGATCCGCATCGCAATTTCACCCATGTAAAATGATGAAACTACAGCTAAGTTGCTTTCAGGACTGGAATTCTCTGCAACACTAAGCTCAGTTAGAAACAAATCAAGAAAGGCAACTTTGCAATTACAGCATACAACATATCAACAACAAGAAACTAATAGATAAAGAGTTCAAAGAAGATGAAAAGGGGAAAAGTAGAAACTAAAAGCATTGAAATCAAAACAAACATTTACTTGGGCCAAAGAAGAGAAACATCTTTTCAGGCCATTAAAATTTATAATTACACTATGACTATCTCAGATAGTCTCCAGAGACTAGCATAAGCTGGAAATATAGACAATTGAATTGCAGCAAAAACCAGTTGCAAGTACAAGAAAGAATATGATTTCAAAAATAATACAAGGTCCGAAAGAAAAAAGTTTACCTTCTGAATGATTTAAACAGGACAAGATGGCAACACTCCCCTTTCGATCAGAAACTGCAGCTGTATCAGCATCCATAAGAATACAATCAGCAACTAACCGCTGGACAGGATCACAGTAAAGCTGTTCCAGTTTTCTTGAATCCTGGGTCGAAATACAGAATCAAGGTAACGTGTTTACGATAAAAGAATTTCATGCTACCAATGCAAGCCACTACTTAGGCTTGAACTTTCTGCGTAAGTACACAAACTTAAGAAAGCAGCATGATGAATATGCTCAACCATTTCCTAAAATAAAGCAGCAAAAAGGTGATAATAACAGATCAAGAATCTAATACCTCCCGATATGAGTAGAATATGATACCATCCCTACAATCACCAACAGCAATTCTATTTAAGTGTGCAGTTAAAGTCATGATCATGAATCGTGTTTTCCCTCCCACTAGTCGTCTCACCCTTTGACGAGAATGATCATTGGTGAAGCTACATACATAAAACTGACAAAAAGAGAGAGCATATATTAGAAGCGACAGAGGGGGCCACGCAAGGCAACTTATTATGCAAAAAAAAAGGTATATTGCTACTTACAGAATTACCAGCTGAAGCCACGAAATTACGATCAAGGAAAGGGCAGATAGCAAGAACAGCTCCTGGCCAAATGTTTGAATATGTTAAACGTAACTGCCATGGCTCACTTTCTTCAAGTCTAATCCCATCACAGCTGTTGTCATCAGGGCTGCTACAAAGGCTACTACCAGACAGCTGTTCAGTTGCATATCCCCCACTTTCACAGAAGGGTGAAGTTCGTTGAGAAGATGATCCAGCTCTCGAAAAAAATGCTATTGAACCACTATCTGAATTTTGAATATGTTCAAGGCAGAGGACTAACAAACGACCCTTAGTACTGTTAAAAAAGAATTTATCAGATGAATACAAAAAGATAAGGCAAAGATACTTAAAAACAATTGATTGAAGAAATACTTTTAGATCAAGAAGTAAAATCATTGACCATGCTACAGAAAGCTACTAGGATAAACAATAAGCTCAAAGTATAACTGTCAGAGTGTCAGGTTAGAAATTTTCAAACATCTTATGAATTTTAAATATACAAGTAAACATCCACTATAATTTATAAACATACGTAAATCTAAAGCCAACATAATAAAAGGAACATATCTCAAAAAGAAACTGCCAAAATGAATTCAGGAGATAATAATAAACCTTTCAGCTTCACCACTAGGCATTATTACAGGTCCTGATGTGCGGCTAGTTCCAACTACCATAACTTGATCATTCCCATATTTCACCAACACCATGCATTTACCAGTCTCCCCAGGATCCAGTTTAAATGAGGATACCACTGATCCGCTTAAAGGATCTATACAGCAAACATCAGAGGATGAATCATCACTGAGGTCAGTCCTCAAGACAACCAATAACTTGCTTTCACTATGATATAAGACCTTGCGTGGAGTGCCATCAAGGTTAAACTTCTGCACATTAAGCCGTTTACTAGACACCATCTCCACCTAAAACATAATTAGGACAACTGTTATATCAAACTATGATTACCATGAAGACATAATGAATAAACAAACTATTAGGCTGTAATTACTGAAAGAAAATGCAAGGAAAGATGATGCTCTTTCTTGTGCAAGAATGAAAACCTAACAGGCAAAATATTTACGGAGTATTTTATACCCTAAACAGTTTCTTTTCAAAGGGGGGAAGGGGTTAGAGGATCTAGCATTACAAACACAGTCCCAAAAAAGGGTCTCTAACAGGCCAGACTTCAGAAGCATGAAGCAGATGTCTAGATAACCTCCAAACAGGTCTTGAACTTGAATAAAAACATAAATAGTTGCTGAGTAGAAACTCAGGTGGTTAGGTTCGTATACAAGGTGTAGTGCTACAACTTCTTCCATTTTGTCATATGATTCCAACAGTTACTAAGCAAACCGTTTTATCAGATTTCCCTCATCTCCTCCACCTAATATCTTAGATAAAAAGTAAGGCACCCTACTCAAAAATCATTCGCATTAGGTTTTTTTTTTTTTTTTTTTTTTAAACTACAATATCAAGCATGCATTTTTTCCATGCATTGAATCCATATAATATTCAAATTAAGGTAATAGATACCAAGGGCACCCTACCTAATAATATCATGCATACAATGTTACGAGCATTAAATCCACACAACATTCAAAAGGTTACATTCAATTAGGAGTTGATGCCTCAACATTTAAGCAAAGAACAATAAATAGAATGGAAATAAACTATACCAAATTAAGACTGTTGTCAGCAACAAATAGAATTCCCTTGGGACATTCAGTGGAACAAACAGGAGTGGCATTTGTGGAAGGCTGAAAGGAGATGGATGTATAGGAAAGGCTATGTCTTGCAGTTTGTAATAGCCAAGGCCTATCACTCAGTGCAATTACATCAGCATCAAGAGAGTCACTCAGTGGAACCAAAAAAGCTGGGGTGATGCCTATGCGACGAACAGCAATTAGTTGAAGATGAATAGGAAAACTGTCCCTCATCTTATCAAATAAAGTGGATGAGGAAGTAGGCATGGCCTTGTAATTTACAGATGTGAATGGTGTAGTAGAATTTTCCAAATTAGAACTGGTGAAATGCTGCAGATTAGATGACTGTAGCACAGAAATATTAGAGGTAGAAGGCCACTCAAACCTGAGTAGCATACCATTCCTCAATCCTGAAAGAATATAGGGTCGATCAACAAGTACAAGCTTTACATCCTGAGGAACACAGCCAGTGATGGTAGTTCCTAGAGTGTTCGTTAATGATATGGATCCTATAGCAATAACTTGAAGGCCCTTATCCAGCGAAAAGGACAGTACTTCTACCGAAGGTTTGTGTGTACCAATAATAAAGGTACTACTAAGGTCAAGCTCTGCCGGAAAAGCAGCCAAAGGGGCATCATTTGTGCTGCTCATTGGTGAAACTAATGGTTTTTGCTCAAGCTGTTTCTGAGGGATGGAAATGCAGGACAACTCATCCTGCAATCTTACATGTTGCAACTGGTACAATTCATATTGATAAGCTGATAATGATTTCAGACCAAGTACATACAAAAAGGATGGACTAGAAGTGGCCACAACTATCACATTATGCCCAACTGCACCCAAAATAATTCTTGTATCATTAGGCGACCATGATGTTCCACCAACAGGAGAAGATAGGGGAACACCTTCAGGATGAGCAGATGCAATAGGCACGCAAAGTCTAACAGCATCTTTGTGTATTTGCACCAGTAAACCATCAGCCATGAGACCACATGCCAAGGTGCTGACATCAGGCTCGAAACCCACAGAATCAGTTACATCAGAAAAGCTTACCCCAACTGAAAGCACTCTGGTTTCTTCAACAAATGAGAGAACAAGGAATGAATGATATCTATCAGTGACTTTCATTTTGACAGTCCAAGTGCCAGTTATCCCTTGATAAATGGGAGCAGTTTTCAACAACTTCTCCACACTGATACCACTTCGAATAATTCGTAACGACCCTTCAGGTGCCATCCCGCAGCAAGCAAACATTTGATCATGTTTCTCATTGTAGTAGTCCACAACTGACATATCCAATATTGGTGCAATGTTCTGGATTGGACTTCTGTAAACTAGCCTGCCATCATCCAATTTTAAAACCATCCCATCACCCATCTCAACAATAGCTGCTATAAAATCACTTTCCACCCACAATAGCTCCTTTGCTGGTAGCCCTTTGTAAAGGCAATCAGATAAGCTCATTTTGATGCCATCGGAATCAGAAAAAATCTCAACCATAAAAAGTTGGCCTGAATCAGCACTAAAAATCATCCTTGGGTTGTTTTTATTTGCAGAGTCCCAACTCCATGAGCAGACATAATTAGTACCTGGTTTGGTGCTGCTATCATCATCAATATTCATTGGATCACTTTTGTTTATGTCACTGAGCTCCAATAAGGCAGAGGCAGCAACATTATACATTCCTTCTTCATCAATGATATCAGGAATCCTAATTGTAGGTTCCACAAAATTCTGCTCTTCCACTGAAGGAGTAAAATTTAAACTAATTCTATATAGGAAATAAGGATTATGAGCATCCTTGCAATCCATTAAGACGGCATCTCCAGCCTTGAACAGTATAACTAGTCCATAAGAATGCGGAACTTCAACTATATGATGTGCAAATGGTCCAGCTTCTACATACTGATATATCACATGAAGCAAATTTTCTTTAGGTTTCCATTCTAACAACATGAGCTCATTCCTATATGTTCTCTCCCTGCAGTAGATAATTCATCTTTCTTATTAACAGTGGGAAGCTTTATCAACAAAAATAAATATCACAGAGAAGAATAACAGGAAACCAGTTTCAGTAATAAAGCAATTTTACAAATTGGGAATTTGACAAAATCTTCTCTGTGCAACCATTATCAGTCATCATACCTATTCAGAAGAATTGCTAATACAGGGTTGTGCTCCTTACTTGGCTGGCGGAGATCTTTTGAGATAAAGCACATGCTCCATATGGTACCACAGATTTCAGTAACACCATTTACAGTTTTAATGTCCTCGTGATTGTCAGGAGGACAACAGATTTTCTAATACCATTAAGCAAAAGAATGTCAGCAACTCCAATTGTTATATCCAGTTCAGGTAGGTAGAAAGCACATAGAAAATAAAGCACAGTTAGAAACTTAACCTTATCAATAATATCATTGCCACAAGAAGTCGAGACAGAGAAAAGAGCTAATTTGTTTTCATATGCGCTAGCGGCAATGAAACAGCCACTGCATAGAGCAAAGTAATAAACCTACATAAATAAACATCCTACAAACTCTAAGTCATAACCCAAGAACTGATAAGTAATGTTGCTAACAATCTAACTGTACTGGTTACACTTATTAGTCAAGGACAAAACTTACTTAGAATCAATGGCTAGCATCCTTCCAATTTGATTCCTTGAATTCCCAAGAGAAGAGAGTTGAACATGTGTTAATGGGAAAAACCTAGATCAACAATGAAGGCCCATAAAAGTAAGACTGAAATGGAAATAATAAGTTTCTAAGCTAAATTTGAACACTGTAACTATAGATCGAGTACTTAGCAGGATTAGGAAAAAAAATAAAAATAAAGCAAAAAGAATATAAATATATTTAGTCAACAAAAAACAAAACCAAAACCTGTGCATTTCATTGCAAAATGCAAGAAATGATAGCTTTCCTGAATCAGAAATAACAACCAGAATGTCCTTGCCATGAATCTACAAAGAAACAAATAATAGAATGATACCCTGAATTTGTATAGAAATAAATCTGACTGTTAAAAGAAAAGTAACTAAAAACCTGTGAGCTTCGAGAATGAAATCGGTCATTCCAAGGCAGAATGGCAAGGTCTTTTATAGTGCCAAACACTGGCTGCTCACATATAGATTGTACAACTCCATCATCATCTATGATCACCAATTCTATAGATGTCTCCTGAACCAAATGTCTATCATATATCAGTTATCATCATCAGCTAGCACTAAGAAGCAAGGACTACAATCAAGATAATATGGCATCCAAACTTAAGCTCTATTCACACATTCACTATACTAAAGCTAATGAATTTGTGTACCCTACACAGAAGCAGTTAGCCTCACCTCTGTAGAGACCTTATATGCCTAAAACTATTCACCACATAGGATGCAGACCCTAATTCTCAGTCATTCCAATTTGTGATATGCTATTTCTATTTTCCTTCTCACAATTTTCACCTTTAATTCGCATTTCTTAAACAATTTTTTTCGCACTGCAACAAGCCCCACTTGAGATGATTTCATCACTGTTTTAATCTTTCCGGACACGGGTTTGCCTAGATAACTAAACAACAAGCGTTGATAATTGCACTTAAAGAAAATTTAATCGCTAAGCATTTGCAACTGAAAGCAGAAATCCAATACTGAGTATTAATAATCCCAAACGGAGCAGATAAATTAAGAGATAACACGGAGACCTTGCCGAAAACAACGTCGTTTGAGGAAGGGAAGCGGATGTGGCCATAGACGACTTGGAGAACAACGCTTCCTCTTAGCACCGTCTTCGCCAAATAACATCCTCCGTTCATAGCTGCTGATCGTGACCTGGAGCTACTCGCCGGCGCCGACGACGATGATTCCTCCTCCGAAACCGCCATCTTAGACAACGTATAGCAGGGATTGTATTCAGCTCGGCTTGATTCCGATTCCAATTTTCATTCAATTGAATGGTAATTAAATCCAGATAAACCTAGGGTTTTTACTGTTTATGTCCTTCGCAGTTGAAAAGAGTAGTAGAGAAGTGAGGAAATGGGCCAGTTCTAATAATTTGCTCCTTCGTACTCTTGCAGGCTGTTTAACTGTTTTTTCCGTTTTTTTTTTCAGTTTTAGAAAGAAAATTCCATAACTCCACTTTTAAAGGAATTAATTTAATAACCAAAAATGAAATTTGTATTAGAAGGAAATATTGAATGGAGGTAAAGATTATGCATCATTTACTGAGACTTCATCACAGTAGTTAGGGCATCCTTAATAGTGTGAAGATTTTGAGGGGGATTTTATAAGTGTGATTAAAAAAGAGAAAATGATGATTTTGAGGGAATTTTAGAGATGTTATTAGGAAAGGGAAAATGAATGATAAGGGAAAAAGAAAAAAAAAAACTAAAAATCAAGAAAAATAAAATAAAAGCTTAACACGCCCCGCGCTATTTCTACCCAATGCGCACGATATGCGCAAATAAGAAAAGGAATGGACCCACAAGACTGACAAAATCTTCATTTTTTTGGTAGAAGGGCCGAAGGCCCCCGGAGAGAGTTAAGCTATTCTTCGTGGCGCAACACTGTTCGCGTCGCGAACCATCAACGAGTGGAGGTCTTCCGGAGCATGAGCTAGAACAGTAGTCCCCCACGACGCGTTTTGCCCCAGATTGGCAAGGAAGTCGGCACATTGATTTCCTTCTCGAAGCACATAGAGACAAAATCTTCATGTTAGTATGTTACTGCAAAAACCTCTCCCCTCTCTCTCCGCGATCCTCTCTCTTCCAGCTTGTCATTTTTTCTTAAAATTTGTGCACAATCCCTTTATTGGGATTGCTCTTAGAGCATCCACACCAAAAATTAATAAGTGGTTAATATCAGATGAATAAACTTGGATGTGGATATTAAGAGATGTGGGGTGGGGTTATTTGAGAGAAGATTTCTCCTGCAAATACAAAAATAATGTCAGAAGAAAGAAAAAGTAAAAAAAAAAAAAAAAATTAAGCAACACAGGCTGTGCGCGTTTGCATGTCAGGCACGCTGTTTCAGCGCGCCTGACGCTCCAGTTTTTTTTTTTTTTTTTTTTTAATTTAAGTTTTCTCCTTTTTTTTTTCTCTCTCTCCCCTCCCACTTTCTCTTTTCTAATCACTCTTACATTATCCCCCATTCTCCCCAACTGATGCGGATGCTCTTAGGCTATTCTTATCTCAAAAATTTCTCACTTTCTAAAATGTGTCACACTTCCACATTATCAATTTTGCATATAATAAAATAATATTAAAAGAAATAATAAAAATAAAAAAGACATCAAAAGCTGTGCAGGCTGTCATTTTCATCAACTTGTGCAGCTTTCTCTCTCATTAGAGCATCTACATCAGAGGAGAAATAGGGGAGAATTCACTACTTTTGAGGCCAAAATGCCATGGTGGCAGAGAGAGAATCAAGAGAGAGAAGGGGTGGGGAGCATCTGCAAATGTGTTGGGATATTACTCTGCCTAAGAAAAATAATTAATGATGAAGGATAAAGAACCAATAGAGAAATGACATGCTTATTTTTTATATAATTTTTTTTTATAAAATCAGTTTTGATTTTTTTTTCCCTCCCCTCCCACATTATTCTCTTTCCTACTCACTCTTACATTCTCCCCCTAATAACTCCAACTGATAAGGATGCTCTTAGCAAATTATCTCTCTTATTTCTAATTTAGCAAACTCTCCCTCCCATTTCAATACACATTAGCATAAAAAAAAATAAAAAAAATATATTCTCTCTCTTCCATGTTATTTAGAAAGGAGTAAAATTTTGGGGTGGGATTAGCTTTAGCGATTATGCATCATTTTTAAAAATTCTCAAAGGATATATCAGTAAAAAAATCTTTTTTTTTTAAATAAAATATTTCGTATAATTTAAAATTTAATATTAATGTTTAATGTAATTGGCAATTGCATTGCGCTATCCATAGGCAATTTATTGTGTGAACCCAGTGCTGTGTGGATAATAACAAAAAAAAATATTTTTAATATATTAATAATATATTATTTGTGTACTGAATGCGTATTATACAAAATAATATATTTTATGAATATAATGTACATTTTTAATATATTAAAAATATATTATTTATGTATTAGATATACATTATTTAATAATATGATCCTTCTATCAATCTTTGTGCTCAATCTTTCTCCAATTCTAAACCTAATAATAATGCATTACTTTTTAATAACAAAAATAATGGATATAATAAAAAGCATTGTGGAATGATTAACATGACTAGCCACAAATATATACAATAATATTTTATAAGTTTACTTACCTCATTAATAATGGTACTATGGTAGGTAGTAACGCAGTCGCTTTCCTCACTAGCTATGGATTTGGACTACCCATAATTTTAACAAATTTTATTAAACAATATTTCAAATTTGCCCCCAAACTCCCCTATCAAATATGTCAACAAATTATCATTATACTAAAATGAACATTTAAAAGTGATTCAACTTGCAATATAGACTATTGTTCAAAATATAATTTGCTTGTAGAGTTATCACTCCATACAGTTACTTATTGATATGTACGCACTCATGCAGCTTTGGTCTTAGCTATTGTTTTTTATGTTTAATGATGAGAAAAACTCCTAAATACTATGTGAGAATGTGCATGGGATAAATTTTACATTGTAATCCAAATTAATAAAGAATTACAATAAGATAAACCAATCTAAATTGTTAATAGTTGATTGGTTCAAATTAAAAAGACCAAGACAAATTGGCCCGCCAACCTAATGTTTGTTATACATCTTATCCAAAGTATGTCATATTAGTAGGGAATAGTAGATACTAGAGAGTAAAAAATGAAAGTAAAATAGAATATATATACTATTCGCTCGACTAGTGATAGGCGGCAATTTATATCGTGGATCCAATACACAAAATTTAACGTTATAATGTACAGAATTTATGTTCATAATACACATACACATAAATACAAGATAATGAAGACACATAAACACTTAACATAATACATATAATTCATATGCATAATGTACAGAGTTCATGTTCACTATATCATGTTTATGTGTATATGTATTATAAATATAAATTTTATGCATTATGAATATTAATTCTGTACATTATGAAGTCAAATTATGCGTATTGCACTATGGATCCTGGTTCACGATATAACGATCGGTGATAGGCCTAGGCTTGTACTGCACATTGTGGGCCGACAACAGTGCGTATGAGAAGGCCCATATGACATCCATTGAACCCAGCCCAAAGGGCCTACGTCGGTGTTCTGAAACCGCTCGTTGGTAAGCGCGTGGAAAGTGCAGACATGTTCATATTTTGTTTTCTGTTTCTTTTTGAAACGTTGCGACGATTTGGCTTCGGTATTAGAATCCGGGGAGTGATCTGTTGTCTTAGAAAAATCAGAAAATCATATGTACGTACGTGTATGCTCTGTCGGGTTCAGACGCACATCTTTGGGTCTAGGATTTTTAATACGATATTAATTAGCTAGCTTTGAAATTTGAATTTTTTTTTTTATTATTTTTTATTTTTTGTTGATTAAAAGAAATGGTGGTGTTTCAAGTCGAAAATACTAAAAATAAGGTAACAAATCGGCAATAGTTCAATGACTTCTAAATGATTTAGGGGTTAGTTAAATTAGAAGTAACGAATACAGTTACACAGGTTTATGTTTTCTATAATGTTTGCCGGCCTTCTGAACTAGTTCAGAGATTATTGCAGTAAGTAGTTCACCCAATTAAAGCATATGCAAATAGCAAGAAGCTAGACAATAAAAAACACATGCACAGAGTTGGTAACTTAGTTCGGAGAATTCAACTCCAACATTTGAGGGACATCACATGAAATGATTGTCAGATTCTTCATAGATCTCCCGATCACTCGAATTGAGGCTACCCCTCAATTGCAGCTGACTTGCGTCAATTTCATGTGAATAAACAACTCGTAAATAGCAACAAGGATGATGGTTGACTTGATGTAGAAATCTTTATTAGCTCATGAAAGGTTATCAAGCCATTCAGATTAGTTCACTGAAAAACTCTCTCAAAGTGTATATGATCCTCTATGTAAATTCTTGATTGGTTGGTGAAGAGAGGGATAAGGTCTTAAGTAATCGATCTCATAAATATCTTAACTGAATAACTTTCTTGAACTTCTAGTTGAACTGGATAACTTCTTAACTAGTAACAATTATTTAACATGCAAGGTCGCACCTTTTGGATAACCATTTGAATACAAGGTAGGATAGGGTATATATATGTTTGGTCGCACCGTACGTACGCACGTAGGTGAGAGGTCATATCCGTACAAAAAGAAATTAAAGTACATTATATTATATTATTTAGCGCAGCTGTGCAACATGTGGGACTGACAACGCTAAATGCATGCTCCCATGTTTGACTTATAAGCAGAACGTACGTACTAGCAGCGTCGGATTAAATGAAAAGCTAGCTAGAGATAATCGCCGACGACATACAGCGTATGAAGCTCTGTCAGCGTCAAATTAAATGGCTTTTTTCTGTCGTGAAAAAGGTCAGCCTTCTGAATTATATATACTATTATTATTCCACTACGGTCATGTCTGACCCAGATTCCGTCACTCAATATATAATCCCCCGCCCCCGGCCTACTATACGTCGGCGAAAAAGCATAAAGGGCAAACAGCTAGCTGGTCAGTTTAATTTCGTTGGAAAACAAATAATAATAATGCTGAAAACACTCCGCCGCCCCCGGCTCTTTCCAAAAGCCCACGACTTCGTAGAAATGCACGTCTGAAATTTACCAAGCTAGCTTACCGCATGCATTGTCTCCGATCCAACATAAACGCATATAATGTATCTAGCTAGGCAGCTAGCTACGTTGTGATCATAATTCATGAACAACGTCTGTGCGTACGTGCGTGTATATATATAGCATTTGTAAGGTTGTGAGTTCGAGCCTTAGTGGAGGTGTTATTGGTTATTTGTGTTTCAGTAGGTTGAGAAAGTATATGAACAGATACTACATTGTAATAGAGCCAGTAGCATCTTAATTATGTTATTATTATGTTGATCGAT